GTAGATGCCCATGTCCCCAAGAGTCGGGCTAATGAGGAGCACCAACACAACAAGCAGGTAGATCAGGCAGCAAAAACAGAGGTGTCAAAGATAGACTTAGATTGGCAACATAAGGGGGAGTTGTTCTTAGCTCGATGGGCCCATGATGCTCAGGTCATCAGGGTAGAGATGCCACCTCTAATTGGGCATCTGACCGAGGGGTGGATCTAACCATGGACAGTAACTAGAGGCGTCAAAGATAGACTTACATTGGCAAAATAAGGGGGAGTTGTTCTTAGCTCGATGGGCCCATGATGCTCAGGTCATCAGGGTAGAGATGCCACCTCTAATTGGGCATCTGACCGAGGGGTGGATCTAACCATGGACAGTATATCTCTGGTTATCCACGACTGTGAGACGTGTGCTGCCATCAAACAGGCCAAGAGGGTGAAGCCCCTGTGGTATGGTGGGCAGAGGTCCAAGTACAAGTGGAGGGGGCCTGGCAGATTGACTACATCACACTGCCCCAGACACGTCAAAGCAAGCACTGTGTGCTGACCATGGTGGAAGCCACCACTGGATGGTTGGAGACCTACCCTGTGCCTCACGCCACTGCCCATAACACCATCCTGGGCCTGGAAAAGCAGGTCCTGTGGAGACATGGCACCCCTGAGAGAACTGAATGGGATAATGGGACTCATTTCAATTCCATTTGCAAATAAGAACAGCCTTATCAACACCTGGGCCAGGCAACATGGTATTGCATGGATATATCATATCCCTTATCATGCACCAGCTGCCGGGCAAGTTGAACGGTGCAACAGACTACTTAAGACTACCCTGAAGGCACTTGGCAGAGGAACTTTTAGAAATTGGGAAATGAACTTAGCAAAAGCCACCAGGATGGTCAACACCTGAGGGTCCATCAATCGGCTGTTCCTGCCCAGTCTGAACCCTTGGGCACAGTGGATGGAGATAAAGTCCCTGTGGAACATATGAAAGGTATTTTAGGAAAGACTGTTTGGATTAATCCCATGTCAGGCAAAGACAAACCCATCTGTGGGATTGTTTTTACTCAAGGACCTGGTTACACTTGGTGGGTAATGCAGAATGATGGAGAAAGCCCTTGTGTACCACAGGGAAACAGAGTCTTAAGTGAGAACTGTGTGTAAGGTTTCATTCTGATGCAGATGGAAATAGAAGAAGGGGTGGATAATGTCTTAGGCTGAAAGATTTAGCTGGGCAGGGGTGTGTGCTCTATTTGCCATCTGTTAAAGGTGGGACAGTTATCTTCTATTAACTGGGCAGCTTTCTTTATCTCTTCCACAATCAATCCTCCCTCCGGGGAGATATCTTCTGTTAATGGGCCATTGAGTGTCACCGCAGGACTGATAAAAATTACAGCATCTCCTTGTGAGATGCTCTCAGCAGAGGGAGGAGCCAAGCATTCCTAAGTGGGCATAATCAAAGATCTGGAAGACCACAGTCAGGCTTTCCCACGGATTCCCAGAGAAGCAGCTTTCTTCTCCACTGGAATCTCAGAGGAAGACCAGGCACATCTACACCACCACCGGACTTTGAGAGGAAAACTCAAATCCCTTCTACAGGATCAACTCAAATCCCTTCTACAGGTCACTGCTCCAACGGAACCACACCTGGCACTGCAGGAGGAATGCAGCCACCATTTCACAGGACTGCTACCACCACCCTGACCCACAAAACCAGGCTGTCTCCAACTTCCTCCCAGTTACTCCCAGCACACCCCAGTCCCCCTTGCAGCCCCTCCAGTGCCTCCACCATGTCCCCAGCGCTGTGGGGGCCGGGCTGTGCCCCAGTGCTGGCTCAGGGG